AAATTTGGAAATGTATATAATTAAATAAAAATGTATATAATTAAATAAAAAATTAAAATTAAAAAAAGGAAAAAAGGACGAAAAAATTATTATTCGATTCGTACACGAGTATATATATATGTAAGTATCATTAACAGTGATCACTATTGACACAAAAGCCTCGTTTTCTCTCAACTATCCCGTTTTGATGCTCAACTAACTAGTCTCCATGTACCAGATAAGTCTCTATATACTTATAAGAAATGATTTATCACAAATCGTTTTCTTAAAGATTGAAACAGGCACCTTGATTAATAAAAAAAAAAAATCAAAATCAAAAAATAAAAATGTAGGAAGTGTTTGAAGTTGAAATTTAACGAAGAGAAGAAAAGCCATCGAAAATTTATTCCCACGTCGTACTCGATTTCTACTTTTTCTTCGTAAAACTTTATACATATATTATTTACATACACATATATAAACATATATATATATGTATATAAATAAAATATATACTTACGCGTTTTCTATAGTAGAATTACAAATCATTCTATGGTTCCTCGATGGAATACGTAAAACGATATTTACTTTCTTCAACAAAAACACCATGAATTTTCTATCAACGCACATTTGAATGCATTTTATTTGTGCATATTTTAATTGCACGATTGTTTTGTCCTTCTGTTTTTTGAGAAATACGAATTAAATAATATTCTTCAAATAAGATTATTTTTTTTCTCGTTTAACTTTTATATCTAGAAAAAAAAAAAACAATTTCTTTCTTTCTTTTATTTTTGGCTTTTCTTATCGATAACCCCCACTTAATCTTTCTACAATCTACTTATTATATACTATTGTGTTGTTAAAAAATTACAATGAGATAAATTATATACGTATGTTTTTTTTTTGTTTTTGAGATAAGTTATTATTCATGTTCGTTCGTTTATGTCCACGCCTTCAAATTCGAACGAACAAAGGACCCAAGAAAGATGTATTTACGTGGATCACGCCCACGTGGATCGATACACGCATACATATATATATATATACATATAAAGTAACATGTAACTAAATCACACACACAAATATTTATATATTCTCAATCGTACATGCAAATAAATATTCAAGTTATACGTACACTCGTAAAATCTCAAGTTACATACACACACACACACACACACATTATAAAAAAAACCCAAGTGATACAACATACATACACACATCATTTACATTTACATATAAATTCTAGATTAGAATAAATTATCATCATTTACACACACACACACATACACAAAATAAGAAGAAATTAGTTATCTATTTATCTGTGAAACGAGAATTATTAATTAAATTAATTAAATCTTGAACACACACGAGTTTTACGAACTCCTTGGTTCTCATGGTTAGTAATTTTGTTTTTTTTTTTGGTTTTTAAAATGTGTGTGTTTAACGCGAGAGACGTCATCGTCCTTCGCACCTCGTCAATCATGTTATCGATATCTTTTTATCGTATACGATTGATCTTATCTCAAGATTATCGGCCACTCACTACGTCGACTTAATACTACAACCTTCTCGTAATTAATTAACTAAGTTAAATTTCCTGAAACCACTACGTATGATTTCATATATTTCTTCTTTTTCTCAGTAATTTTTATTCGATATTATTATATTCCTACGAAACATACGATTAAAATATAATTTCTTGATTAAAAATGTGAGATAATTATAAGTGAAATAATGATAAGACATTGTAAAAAACTTTGTAAGTTGTGCAATAAAAACCTAATTATATATATATT